TAACTAATTTATTTGAACTATATGCTGAAGAAATTTACCAGTTTCTTCAAAGCCTTTTTAAACTCATCACACATGATTGGTGAAAATGCTGAATATCATACTTTTCTTCTTGCATATCAGCTACATAAAGTTTTATACAATAAAAATACTAATTTGTTGGACATTCCATGTTAAACAACTGTCGTGTTTAGCTTCATTGCATTGATCTGGTTCATCAGATATTGTGTTCTGGAGAGTGTTCTTTATTCAGTAAAGTTTTAATTTAGTATAAAGACAGCCAGTATATTCAGTACTATCAAAGACTTCTCTTAGTTATGAGAATTTGGGCAAAGGGGCTGGGGATGTGGCCTAAGGGTAGAATACTTGCCTTGCTTGCACCAGGCCCTGAGTTGGACCCCCAACACTACAAAAAAATATATATATATCAGAATTGGGGTTAAACAAAATTCGCATTCTCTGGGATCTTTAAAAGAACAGTATTCCTCCATCAGCTATGATCAGTACAACATTAATTGTGAACATTTTTGGATATTTACCTGAGAGGATAAATTATATAAGAACTTAACTTGGGATGCAACTTTTTTGTTGGGAGGTAAGGGCAATGCTAAGGATGGAAAACAAGACTACATTTTAAGCATGGACTCTACTACTGAGTTACACTACCAGGTGGACACAAATTTAATGAATGTGTATTAGTATTTAAAATAGAGTAGTCATATGTAATAATAAAATACAAAAACTTAAGGATGCTGAAATTTTAAAGTTATATAGCAATCAAAAAGAAGTTCAGTTTGAGTGTAATTCAAGCCAGCAGCAAAATAATAAAATAGACATTGGAAATTTTATTACAAGATTTTGTGAGAGTATAGAAAGTAAGATTTAAAAAATATCCAAGAAAAAATCATTGAAAAGTAGCAGAGTAATTCTGGGCAATTGATAACATAGTTTTACTAAGTTGTTAACATTCATTACCTGCCATAAAACAAATTTGTGATTTAATAATTCAATGGAGCACATATATTTTAAGAATTTGGTTTTTTTCTTCCTTTGAAGTATGGGGGATAGAACCCAGAGGCACTCTACTACCAAGCTACATCTGCAGCCCTTTTTATTTTTCATTTTGAGATAGGATCTCACTAAGTTGCTGAGGCTGGCCTTGAATTTTTGATCCTTCTGTCCTTCCAAGTCACTGGGATTACAGGCATGTGCAACCTCACATGGCTAAATTTAGTAATTTCAAAGTAACCTTGCTCAGTTCAGTTGTTTCTTTACTATGCTTAGATGAGAAAAGTTTATGTGACTTTTCTAAATTCAGAGAATTAACTCATGACCAGTATCCCAGTCTATTATTTGATAAAGGTAATATCAATATTTTTTTACT